ACTAAGAAAAAACATCACGGCGTCACTGCGAGCAGCCCCTTTTCCTTGCAACGGCCACGGTCCCCCTGACAACCATTTTTCGAAGGTTTATGGCACCCCCACCAACAACCGAACCAAAAGGGTCAAACTGAAAAGCGCAGGCGAAAGCTCCACAGCTTAGAATACTCCGAATACGCCTGTCATCGTAATACGGGGAATCCCAAAGCAATATTCAGTAAAGCTGGGAAGCACCTTAGAGACATAACGCCCACTGTTTCAAACAGAACGGAAAATTTCTATACTTCGCGGAGCCTATTGGCCACAAATTGTGTTACAACGACCATCACTTTTAGCCAATAGCGAAGCGATCATTTTAGGAGCATGAACCATGAGGAAGAAGGGTGGGGAGAAGAGTTGAACCTCGTACGTGGAGCAGAAAACAAGTGACATTGGACAGACGAGACTTCTCTGGGGTGGAGCGTCCGGGAGAGAGGGGGTGCACTTCTAGGACTGGCATTGCACTTGAAGTTTATTAGAAGAAGTGCAAGGACTCTTACGGGAGTAGGCGAACTTTTGCCACTGCTATCAGCTACAAATTCACATTCGCGAATTTGTTCGAGAGGAACCCGAGACGCTCTAGAGACAATCTCCTGGTTGCTCCGCACTTGTATCGGGCGTCAATACACCCCGTTACATATTACGACTACCGCCGAGCAGCCTCCAGACGGCCCTTCCTGATGCCACGGGACCGCGCAAGCCGGCCGCCAGCCCACGCCCTTCTGAAGGCGTGCCCCAGCCGCATTCTGCGGAAAGGACATCCCGGCCGCCCACCAGCGCCCTCGCTCTGCGCAAAGGCCTGCCTGAGCACATTTGTCACGGAGGTTTCCAGCAACGTAACAGGGCCAAATAAGCCCTTAGAGGACTATTGTTAAAGCGGTGCCGCGCTGAGGCAACAGAAAGGTCCTCAGGACAAATTTTGGTAATTGTAGCATACGAATAATTTTCTGGGTAACACTCTCTTTAGTTGTAAGTTCTTTCTTAATTTCTAATCTTTATTTTTATTTTATCACATTTTTTTTCATCAAATGTAACTTCCCTGGTACAGGCCCTTCCAGGAATAAACATTGGTCTTTTACCAGTAACCAAATGTGTTGTTTGAATGCCACATTGCATGCTTTCGCTTACAATGCCATTCCTCCTGAATCATATGAGTAAGGGAGTAGGACCGACTCGAGCTAGAACGGGCCGCTACACGCGCGCGTTTCCCATACGCGAGACGCGTGTTGGTTGTTACAATATAGACAGATAGATGCAGAGAGACAAGAAAACAGATATATTATAATATATTATTATATATAATATCTTATAATATATTATATTATATATAAAATATTAGTATATAATACTAGCGGACCCGACAGACTTCCGTCCTGTCCAAAGATTTGTAATGTGACAGTTTTTGTTCCTACATATTTTATAGCTGGCAAAAATCTTCTGAACAAACCGTCACCCTTGGTGATAGGGCGTTGTGAATAAGAACACTATAAATTTAATAAAACATATAATAAGGCATTTAAAAGTAGTATATCGCTTATTGTTAATAATGTGAATCATAATTATTAACAAAAATCAGTTTTTATTTCTCATTGTAGTGCTTTTGATATACAATGTTTTTCTGTTTGATACTGCAGCATAGACAAACAAATCTGAATTGGTTTCCAACACGGGAACAGGCAACATTACAATTGACCATGTGAGAACACATGGGTTTTCTCAAGATTCTTACACAAACACTAAATTGATTGCCCCGGGGACTTGTTATGGTCATAGCCAAAAGCAGACCGACTGGAAACTGTAGTCGTTTAAAGTTAAACGCACATCAGCGGCATAATGGGATTCGCGGGTATGAGAACGTCTTCTCTGTTATACTTTCCTTTCAGTAACTAATTGCTTACTATCACGTTGTTTTACGAATTTTTTTATCGCTAACCGTGTTGCACTTGTCAAAGACTGGTTGGTTGAGATTTTCGCAACATAACTACCGACCAACCTTTAATTAAGATTGTGATGTGGAAACCGGGTAAAAATCCAGCAGTTTTAAAAATTCTGGTGGATGGTTCACTACATCATCCTTGTTAGTAGCCAAAACAACTGATTATTATATATCCTCGATTCGCTGTAATTGTTCTTGAATTTTTTAATTTATTCATTTACATCAGTTGTTTTGAGCCAATATAGCTCGTTCGCTCAACCAATCATGGTTCTGTAACTTTGTGGGGGGTGGAAAGTTTTTAGAAGGAATACAGCAGTCAACATTCGATAGGAATATTGCCATTACCAATGTCAATAAGTTTTTAGAGAATATGTCTTCCAGATTGGTCATTTTGCAAACTTGACACGCATATTCTCTGCTTAATAAATCTACTTGACATTGTTTCACAATTGAGGACTTTAGACATGCATTGAGTTCATCAGCTGCGTGTTTGATCGTGGAATCACTGCAATGATTGAACGAAAATTCCTGCTAATAAATCGTTGACCACCACAAATTGGTTTATGATGCCGTAGATCTTTAGGTTCTGGTCTAAAGCCTCCAAAGATTTTTTATGTGCCATCGTGCATCATCCCAAATAATTCATTTACATGCTGCAAGACTTTGCCATTGCCGAGTTCTTCGAAATGTTGCAGTCGCGAGTTTGCATTGCTTTGCATATTAATGGCAATTTAATGCTGAAATGGCTGTTCGACACCTCAGCAAAGTTGCTGCGACTTCCCGACGACAATCGAGTGCAAGTGCTTTTATTTTGTGAGCAAATCGTTGCTAATTAATGAAATAAAAAATTTTTCTGGTAACCACCAGGTGATCTAAGAGTAAATCTCCCTCCAGTATTTCATCATGTTACTTTCATAAGGTATTCAATACATTCTCTGTTGTTTCATATCAACAGTTCAAGATTTGGTTTGATTACTTCTTTCAAGTGTTGAATCATACAGTTATTTCTCGAATTAACTCTCGGTTAAAAGGCATCATGCATTGACGATTGGCGCGGCCAGGCCTAATTGAATAGTTTGTTTGACATCATCAAGCACATGGTTCCTCAATTGAAATCATCCTTCGTTGTAATTCTTGACATAAGTGATGATTATGATCTGTAATGATTAAGAAATTGAAGATTAGTAACACATTTAACTTAGGTGACAGTACATAAAACAAATTATGAAATTAAACTGCTATATACATACCTTAAAGTGGCATAAAATTTTCCCGAACTACATTTGTTGACGGCAATGAGTCATTTGATGCAATTGTTATATTTTTGGATATTGTCCAAAAAGTGTATGGGTCAAGAGTACAATAGAGTTCTGTGGTGGTTCCAATGGTATCAAGTTTCACTTACATTTGCCAACAATCCATACTCCGTTTTTATATTTCAATGCCTTACAATATGAGAAATCGAGTTCATAGAACCAATAACAACACATGTGGTAGTTACTGTATGTCAATTGACACATGGTAACTGAAAGCAGCCCGATTCAAACTTGCTGCGATTATTAGTTGAATGTAGCGCTTCGCGCTTCAGCGTTCGAGATATCCGAATTCTTTCCGTACAATTTCGGCCGTCACGTTCTGTCAGGCATGATTAGATCGGTAATTAGCTTAGTTTGTAGCATTTAGGGTTCTCTCCAAATTGCTTCGTCTAATAGGAGCATATCTACTATTATATAATAGTTTCTGGAACGCGACATTAATCTCCTTCAACCATGTATTCTGTGCTCCAACGCACACACGTACACACTGTTTGATAGTATGATTGAATTTTGAACTTTGTATAACGTGTAATAAAAGGCAAATTTAGGTTTGCCACCTTGCCAATTTCAGAAAACCGGGGACCGCTGCGACCGGGGGGGTAATTTAAATATTCAATTGCTAAATAAGTGTTATGTGAGTGAGAGGTGTTAATATTAAATTAAAACTTACTTCATCTATTTATGTAATTCAAAATATAAATAAAAAAAATAAATGAGAAAGATATTTGCTAACACTTTTTATCCGAAATATCTATTATTAGTGTTATTAACATACCTTTTATAATTCGTTTATTTATCGAATTACACAACTTTCGAATTATCTTAACTGGTGTTTCGCTCAATAAATATAGTCTTAACTTCGTGTTATTTCCTAAACAAGAAGATTAATGATTATTATTTTTAGGTTATAGAGATATTGTAAACAACAATTTGTAATGTAAACTTACCTGTATATATTATCGTTTTAACATTTATTTCAAATTTGTTATTGTATATCTAAATATTCAGCCTTTGATACGAAATGTCGATACGAAATACGAAAATTCGATCTTGTTCAAAATGAAGATATCGAATAGATTTCCCGGGGGATCTTCTTGAAATTGTTCGCGCGATGCGATTTCTCGCATAACGACTAGATGCTGTCTCTGTCTGATATGCGAAATGAAGAAAGAGTGGCGATAACACGAAGAATGCGCAAGACCAATTTCATGTTCTGCTCTTTAATCTTCTTTAATGAAGAAGGAAGGGCAATTTCTGATGAAATAGAAAAAGCTTTAAATTTTAAGGTTGAAAATCTAATATTTTTGTAAAAAATTTGGAAAACGTATTTGAAATTGAAAAAAAACGGAGATAATTTTTCAAAAAACCGGAGGACGGAGATGAAGCTCAAAAGCCGAGTCTCGCGGTCTAAAAACCGGAGAGGTGGCAACCTGAGCCAAATTGACTCTTTGACGTTGCGAAACTACCTACAACAATGAGGTGCTTGTGCTACTAACAACAATGGAGTGCTTTATACAGTACAGGCTATAAAAGCTCAAATTGACTCTACGTTGTTAGTTAGAACACGTTTGTATGGGAAAAAGAAAAGGCTGTTTTTAGTTTTTTCGGCAATTATTCGAATTTTTCTCGACGTAAAACAATCCTTGAACTTGCAACAACAGTTTAAAAAAAAGAATTGCCAAATTGTCTCCCAGGGTTGTGATGTTATGCGCTCTTACCAACACATTTTCGATTCATTTTTCACTATATAGATATATAGCAGAGAAAGTCAAGAGACAGATAAACAGATAGAGACAGAACAATTCAAGACAGAGAGAACAAACAGAAGAGACGGCAGACACAGACACAGATTAGAGTCCATACAGAAGAAAACAACCGCACAGAAGAGACAGCTACAGAGGAGAGAGAGCAGCTAAAGAAGAGGAGACAGATGCAGGAGAGGAGGATACAGAGAGAGACAGATACTGAGAAGAGAGACGGAGAAACAGACACAGATATGGAGTCAAAGAGAGAGAGAAGAGAGAGAGATGAGAGAGAGAGAGGAGAGAGAAGGAGAGAGAGAGAGAGAGTACAGAGATGTGACAGAGTACGAGATACGAGAGAGAGACGGAGAGGAAAGACGGAGAGAGAGACGGAGGAGAGAGAGGAGAGAGAGACGGAGAGAGAGGAGAGAGAGACGGAGCACAAGAGACAAGCGACGAAGTAAGAGAGTCAGATAGAACATACCGAGATACACAGGAAGGGGCAGGGGACAAAGAGACACACAGAGGAGAAAAAGACAGAAGGACAGAAAAATGAGACGACAGAGAGACAGGACCGAGAGAGACTAGAGACAGACAGACAGCTGCGACCGAGAGAGACGGGAGACAGACATCACAGCGTGGACCGAGACGATAACAGAGAGAGACAGCTGCGGACCAGAGACACAGAAGCAGGACAGACAGCAGATAACCGGAGAGAGAAAACAGAGACAGGAGAACATATAGGACAGATAAGACGGGACAGCAAGAAGACAGAAAGGAAGAGAGAGACAGTGGAGAAAGCACAAAATAAGAAAAAGGAACAAGGGGTACAGAGAGAGTCACGGAACGTGTTTCTTCTTCGCAGTGTGAATATGAAATAAATTACACGACGCGGGTATTTGTAGTGCCTATATATATGTAAATAATTATAACAAGTAATACTAAAAAAAACTCAATAACACTTAAAAATTAAAATCTAAATGAATTACGGACGGGTTTTTGACCACTGAGCGACTGGTCCTGAATAAATCTATCACTGAGTAAATATGAATTGATTTGTTTTATTAACAACACAACCTTGCTAAATGCTTTTAATAAAAGGGGGATAACGTGCTCGACTACATTCGTTTCTTTTACGTTAACATTTTATTTCTCTCGTAGGTAACGTATTACGTTTCTATACTTTTATGCACTTAAGAACTATTTTCGTACCCAAACACCATTTGTTCCCCAAGTTACAACCTCTTAACTCGTCGAAATATCACTTTTGAAAAGGGATCAAAATGGTAAATAGCAAATTTAAGGATATTCTCAGTCTCTCGAGAAAAAACATTTCGATGAAATTGTAAAAACAGTTTGAAAGTCAAGCAAGAATTGTGCTACTTTAATACTCGTGCTCTATCTGTAAATATAATGCGAAATAAATGGCAAAAGCCCGAGAACTAACATGAGTTCCAAAAAATAGTTTGTTTTCTTTTGAATCATCCTGAATAATATTAATGCGCATTATATGTGCGGGGATCTACTAAGTCGAGAATATCTTTTTCCGCAGTGGCTAAGAGAGATCCGACATATTCCCCGACATAAAGAGTGTTCGTTTGAACCCAAAAACTGCGCCATACTCTGAACTAGCAGTTATCAAATGAACGTTCAGAAGGTTACGGTCTCTCCTTGGACTGCAGCGCCCATCGAAGTATACGAGATCGCGTTATCAGAGGGCATCGCGAGTTGCGTTACTGAGAGCAAGAGGAATTAGGGGCAGCCAAGTTCGGATTTGCGCGGGAATCCTGATGCCGCGCGAGCTCGTTACCACTTGGGAGTACCTTTCCCTGACTCCAGCGCTCCACGTGCGTCGAGCAGCGTTCGTATCGGGTTGATGTGCAT